CTATTCTGACTTCCTGCTTAACACATGGGTAACCCTCCACCCCATCTCTGTGAGGAAGCTCCAGGTGGGACCCAAACAGACTGGTGCTAAGCAGAGACTTGAGTGGGTTTGACAGTCCAGGGTTACACAGATCCAGGGGCCTAACAGCTTGCATAAGGGTGTATGAAGTGACAGCTGCTGCTATCCCAGCTTAGAGGGCAGGGAGGGCTGGATTGTACAGCCCTGGTTTGAGGAGTGAATAGTGGACTGCTCATTGCCCCATACAAAGCCCAGTTACTCTGGCTCTGTGCAGAATAGATGAGTCTCATCCATTGCACATGGAGAATATAATGTAACCCCCTGCTGCTTCCAAGACAGACCACTTTTTCCTCACAATGTGGCATACCAGCGACCATGATGGAGTTAGTTTCTCTCAGATTTCCACACACAATGATGTGTTGCATCTCCAGCAGTGCAGAGGATAAATAAGCTGTTGTCTCATAGGGATAGATGGGTGCCACTGAGAGGATATTTCAGTTTCATTGCCATGGCAGTTTTTCCTGCACTATCAGGACAGATGGGAACAGAAATGATAATGAAGAGCTACAGGATGTTACTGGTAAATTAGTTGAACTGTTAATAATTAAGCACATTAAAAGCCCTCTAATTGAATATATTCTCCTAAAAGAAACATCTGAAGTTTAAAGGAAAGGCTTCCTAGTACACATGCGATTTCAGCATATTTCCACCAAGCAGATCTCTTGCTGAAAGGGCAAATTCACATCTTGGCAAAATTACATTTTACTGGCAAGTAGAAGGTTCCAACTTCACCTTAATTAGTTCTCTTCAAACATGATTACCTTAAGATAAACTAGGAACCTTTTAGTTCCTGCTTTCAGTGCCCACCTGGGGGAGTTACAGCTCAACACTTTGGTGCACAGTGCTGTTCATTCCCCTATAGTTCAAACTGCGGGACAATGCAGAGGCACTAATTTGCCTGCAGGACCTTTACCCCTGTGGATGATGTGAGACTGAGAGAACCCAGCTTGACCCTTTGAACCCAAATTGAGTCTGCAATACGTACAGTCAGAAAAAAGATTCTCCCGCTCAAATATTTTTCTATGGAATCTAGAAAAATTAATATTAGACAGGTACACAGACTCTGTCCCAAACAGTTATAGGGTTTGGGAAAAATTTTAAAAACGAATGTGCTAAACAGCTGCTCCAGTGACTGAGCTGAAAACTTTTTACTACAGGGGGTAAATTAGAGTATCATCGGCATCACAAAAACTTGGTGAAATGTTGAAAATAGGACATGATTAACACCAGGGTAAAAAATACATTGGAATGACAGACTAGGTCATGCTGGTGGGGGAGGGCACTATATGTGCAAGAAAGCATAGAGTCAAATATAGAAAAAATCTTAAATCACTCACACTGTACCATAGAATGGATAGAAATTCCATGCTTGAATAATAAGAGAATAGCAATAAGAATACGCTACCAGCCACCTGACAGTGATTGTGAAATGCACAGGGAGATCAGAGAGGCTACAAAAACAGAAAACTCACTAATAATGTGGGATTTCAACTATCCCCCTATTGACCGGAAACATGTCACCTCAGGATGGGATGCAGAGATAAAATTTCTAGATGGCTGACATTTCTAATGGCTGCTTCTTGGAGAAGCTAGTCCTGGAATCCATTAGGGGAGAGGCAATTCTTGATTTAGTCCTAAATGCTGCACCTAAGAGATTAATATAGCTGAGCCGCTTAGTAATAGCTACCATATTGTAATTAATTTTAACATTCTTAACCGGGTGGGTGGGAGACCAAAGAAACCCATCACAGTATCATTTAACTTGGAAAGGGGGAACTACAGAAAATTGAGGAAGGTAGTTAAATGGAAATTAAAAGGAACAGTCACAAGAGTGCAACATTTTAAAAACCCCATAATAGAGACTCAAACAATATTCCCTAAATAAATAAATAAATTAAATAAAAAACACACACCACCAGTAAGAGGGCCAAGAAATTCTACCATGGCTAAACAGAGGAATAGAGACAGGTTCAAGACAAAAATTTTCTTTGCAAATTGAAAGTCAAATCCTATTGAGGAAAATAAAAAGGAACATAAACTCTGGCATGTCTAGTATAAGTAAAAGTATAACTAGCCAGACCAAAAAAGAATTTGAAGAGCAACTAGCAAAAGGCACAAAAACTAACAGCAAAAAATTTAAGTACATCAGAAGCAAGAAGCTTGCCAAAGGATCAGTAGGGCCATTGGACAATCAAGGTGCTAAAGGAGTGCTTAGAGAAGACCAGCCAGTTGCAGAGAAGCTAAATGAATTCTTTACATCAGTCCTCGCTGCAGAGGATGTGAAGGAGATTCTCACACCGGAGCCATTCTTTTTAGGTGATAATCTGAGGAACTGTCCCAGAATGAGGTGTCAATTGAGGAGGTTTTAGAACAAATTAAACAGTAATAACAGTAAGTCACCAGGACCAGATGGTATACACCCAAGAGTTCTGAAGGAACTCAAATATGAAATTGCAGAACTACAAACTGTGGTATGTAACCTATCGCTTAAATCTGCTGCTTTATGCAGTGCTTAATTTGTGCCAGGGCTTGCCAGGGCTCAGCTCTAGCACCTCTAGGGTTGGCAGTTCATAGCTCCGGCACCCCTGAGCTTGCCGCATCAGTTATTAAAGTAAAAAAAAAAAATTGCTTGAGCCCCAGCACCTCTTTCATTACAAATTAAGCATTGGTTGTACGAGATAACTAATATGATGACGATTTTAAAAAATGTCTCCAGAGGTGATCCTGGCCAGTGAGCCTAACTTCAATACTTGGCAAACGGGTTGAAACTATAGTAAAGAACAGAATTATCAGACACATAGATAAGCATGATATGTTAGGGAAGTGTCCACATGGCTTTTGCAAAAGGAAATCATGCCTTACCACTCTATTAGAATTCTTTGAGGGCATCAACAAATATGTGGATAACAGTGATCCAGAGGATGTGGTGTTCTTGGACTCTCAGAAAGCCATTGACAAAATCCCTCACCAAAGGCTCATAAGCAAAATAGGAAGTCATGGGGTAAGAAGGAAAGTTCTGTCATGGATCAGTAACTGGTTAAAAGATAGGAAACAAAGGGTAGGAATAAATGGCCAGTTTTCACAGTGGACAGAGGTAAATAGTGGTGTCCCCCAAAGATCTGTACTGGGACAAGTTCTACATATTTATAAATGATCTGGAAAAAGGGGTAAACAGTGAGGTGGCAAAGTTTGCAGATGATACATAATTACTCAGGATAGTTAAGTCCAAAGCTGCCTGCCAAGATTTACACAAAGGGATCTCTCAAAACTGGATGACTGGGCAACAAAATAGCAGATGAAATTCTGCATTAATAAATGCAAAATAATGTACGTTGGAAAACATCATCCCAACTATACATACAAAATGATGGGGTCTAAATGAGCTGTTGCCACTCAAGAAAGAGATCTTGGAGTCATTGTGGATAGTTCTCTGAAAACAGCTGCTCAGTGTGCAATGAAAATCAAAAAGGGTAACAATATTAGGAACTATTAGGAAATGGATACATTATAAGACAGAAAATATCATAATGCCACTATATAAATCCATGGTACACCTGCACTTTGAATATCCCCTGCAGTTCTGGTCGTCCCATCTCAAAAAGAGATATATTGGAATAAGTACAGAGAAGGTCAATAAAAATGATTTAAGAGTATGGAACAGCTTCCGTCTGAGGAGAGATTAAAAATACTGGGACTGTTCATCTTAGAAAAGTCATGATTAAGGGGGATGTGAGAGAGGTCTATAAAATCATGAATGGTGTGCAGAAGTGAATAGGGAAGTGTTATTTACCCCCTTCATATAACACCAATCAGGGTCACCCAGTGAAATTATTAGGCAGTAGGTTTAAAACAAACATAAGGAAGTACTTCTTCCCACAATGCAGTCAACCTGTGTAACTCTTTGTCAGAGGATGTTGTGAAGGACAAGACTATAACAGGGTTCAAAAAAGAAATCGATAAGTTCATGGAGGATAGGTCCATCAATGGCTATCAGCCAAGATGGTCAGGGATGCAACCCCATGCTCTGGGTGCCCCTACGCTTCTGACTGCCAGAAGCTGAGATGGGACAACAGGATGGCTCACTTGATAAGTGCCCTGTTCTGTTCTTTCCCTCTGAAGCATCCGGCACTGTCCACTGTTGGGAGACAGTCTACTGGGATAGATGAACCATTGTTCTGACCCAGTATTGCCATTATTATGGGGGGTTTTATTATTAAAGTTGGTAAAGCAAAATAAAAAGTAAATAAGCATAAGCAAAGATGGAGAATATCCTCCCACAAGATGGAAGATTTCCTTTATTTGGAACAAGGAAGCACAAGAAGGATTTATTTTTCCTTTTAATTTTGTTTTGTGTGCAGTTTCTAGCTATGTAGCAACTTGTATGGCCATCATCCCAGTGTCAGAGCACCTCAGAATCATTATCTTCACAAAATGTCTATGGAGTAGGAAGGTATTATCCCATTTTTACAGGTGGGAAACTGAGGCCTGGGGTGACTTGCCAAAAATCATAGAGGAAATCTGTGCCTGAGCCAGGAGTCAAAGACAGGACTCCCGAGTCCCCAGTCCACCACCAAACCTACTAGGCCATCTAGTTCATTACTCTCCTTAACACGTGAAATGTAATTTGCCTGTGTTCTGTATTGACCGAGCACTACCTGTTTCTTATGTTTAATATTTTTTTACAAAAATATCTAAATATTGTACTATATACACATGCACAGGGAACTCTAAACTCGTATTTATTCAGCTAATAACTCTGAGTAATTTGTCCAGTTTCCACGCTTTCGAGAGTAACTTATTAAGGCTGACACCGTGATTAATCCTGATTTTAAAATGGCCTGTCTCTCACTTGAAACCTTCCATACCAAGCTGAATGGCTGCTTTACTTTTTCCTTACTCAATATCTTTGTCTTTTCTGGCAGATGACTTTTGATCCTTCGATCTTCTTCAATGTTTTACTGCCACCCATTATATTTCATGCTGGATATAGTTTAAAGAAGGTAAGTGATTTCTCTCTTAAATTACAGAACGTGGGCTGGTCTGATGGCTACTTTGTAGTGCCATTGTTACATTGGTGGGGAGAAGAATCTAAGTAATTGTCCGTCTGAAATTCTTTTGCTTGGTAATTATTTAGGCCAATTGATATCAGAGAAGAGAATGGAAAATAACTATTTAAGACTTCAAACCCATGGGCCTGATTCTGCTCTCTGTTATGCTTGTGTAAGGCTCTGATCTTGCACTTCAATATGTGGGTGGATTGCTGTGCCCATGCAAGGTCCCTTTGAAGTCAGTGAGGCTCCACACGTGTGCAGCAGCCCTCTTCCCGTGCAGAATTGGGACCTACACCTGTGTAAGGGAGGGGATTCACTGTAATATTTACAAAGGTCATTAAGAACCTGAGCTTTCATTATGACCACTAACTGTTTCATGCATGAATATGCAATTCCTACTTAATATGCAAAAAAGGAAGATTAGTGACATATAGACACGCTGACAGAACATGAGGGGGGTCTTAGATCATATTTTCAAAAGCGTATTTGAAGCCTATGTTTTGTTTTGTTTTTTCCAATCCTGAAGAACTGCTATAGCAACAGCCGGAATGGCTTGACTGGGACTCCTAAACTTGGTGTTTGAACTTGAATTTAGGTTTCTAAGATGAACTCTGCTAAATTTGACATTGTATTTTTCATACTTTGTTTCCCCAGAGACATTTTTTTCGTAATTTAGGATCAATTTTAACATATGCCTTTTTGGGAACTGCCATCTCTTGCATTGTTATAGGGTAAGTGAAATTCACATCCTATTATTCTTGTTCAAGTTTAATATTAGTCGATTTTCCTCATAAAAGGGCACATGATTTACTTCACCGGTGTTAGGCTAACATGAAGGCATTTTCCTGCACTATCTATTCATGACTTTCTTAAACAATGAAGTTCTATCTTTAGGTGAGGTTGAGATGGAAAATTCAAGATGCAGTCATGGTATAGGCCCAACCTTTTCCATGAGACCCTCAGTATCTTGCACACTTGGGCCCCAATTTGTGATCATTATATAGGCACATGCTGCCTTTTATAGTCATGTAGCATTAACATTTTATCTGTCCTGCAAGAAGGGAGCATTCTTCTTGGAGGAACACACTGTTCTTTAATGGCATTCCCTTTACAGGACAAGAAATCTCCAGAAAGACAGGAGGAATTTTAAGGTTCTTGAACTGTTTCTGAACCAAGGTTTCTGCAATGAGCTCTGCACCTGTACAGAGCCCTGCTGAAGCTAATGGAGCTCCTTACAGGGGTCTTCCCATGCAGAGCTCATTTCAGGGTTGGGACCTAAGACTTCATTAGCCATCTGTCTGGGATTGTGTGGAGTTGAAGGAGGGGAGCTTATTTTACAGGTTACAAGTTTGGGAATTTACTGATGGTTCAACTTTCAGGTTAGCAGCTCATTGAATCTTGTAGGTTACCTGAGATCCTGGTCTGTGTAACTCTGAAATGAGCCATTTAAGTTGTTCAGCATGGTGCGCAAGGATTTATGGTAGTGCTTCAATTTTATGCATGTGCTTTAATTTAGAAGTAATCAGACTTCTGAACCTAGGCAGAGTGCTTTCAAATTATGAAAGCAATTAACTCTTCTTGCTTTTTTATAACAGATCTTAAGTAAATTTAGATGGTGGAGTCAAAATATATGTTCCTTTTCAACATCATCATAAGACAGAACTTTCACATTTAATGTCAATTCAGTATTATGAAAACATCAGTGCCTGATGGATTAGTCTGTAATTCAAAGTTTAATACTTGTTAAAACTATTCTTTCAATGGAAGCAAGACAAAAATGGGTATCTTGACATCAGAGTTAACTTTCTTTTCATCTTAGTAAGATTTGAAGTAGCCAACAGCAGACACAACCTGCATGTATTATAACAAACCCATCATCATGTAGGATTTTTTGGTTTTTATTATACTGCATTCTATGGTCACTCAGAATTTCACTGACAGTGGAGAGAAATGTAACCATCCTGCTCCAAAAGCACAGGTCCCTGCCACATGAGCTGAAGAAGAGTCTGGGTTAGCCATTAGCTGTGCATCTCCTGTCACAATTGAGAGGTTCTGATTCCCTCTGGTAGAGGGCAGAGATACACAAGCACACCGGGCAGTTTCTTACCGTGTAAACAGTTAGCCAAATGCTTACTGGTATAAATTGGCTTCAATGGAGCTATGCCAGTTTATACCAGCTAAGAATCTGGCCCAAAGGATCTACATTAATGGGTAGTTCCCCATGTGGGTGCATGTAATATATATACACAAAAGGTTGAATAATTTTTAAGATCAGTGCTACAGTGTATGCAAGTAACAGCAGCTGTATATCTGGAACCTGGAGAACTTAAGTGAGGAAGCTTGTTAAAACAGCATGCTAGGGATAAGAACTTTTGAGTCTTATATGTGAAAATGTCATTTATGTGGCACCAGAACTAACGGATAAATCGCCAAAGGTCTGGACTTCCATTTAGATGCTTATCTGAATTATTTCCACTTTCAGGGTTTCCTCCATCTTGTTACTACTGCAGCTGGTTGAATAATATTCACCAAATAATATTCACAATTTTTTGCGAGATAATGCTGTGTTTTATTTTTTTATATCAATCATTTGATGAATATTTAGAAAATGACTATGTCAAGTTGTGGTTAGCCCCCTCCCTCCCTGCGACAGTCTCCTCATTCCTCCCCCCCAGAGTCTTTTTGAAGGGTCCAGCAGTTCTGCCAGCCTCTCTGGGCCTGGATACCTCTCCTTTTGAATGCCTTCTCAACTCCCACTCATCCCCCACATCAACTTGTCACTCTAGCTCTCCTTACCCAACACCGCTTTCTCTAACTAGACTGACATCCTCATACAGGTGCTGCCAGCTCTATCTATCCTCTCCTGCTGTACCAGCTCTGCTCAGCTGCCCCAGCTGGATTCAGTAGAGCTGTGCCTGTGTACACCACTGGATGTGAATTTGGCCCCTGCTCTATATAATTCCACAGTAAGGGTGTGAAATGGGGGTGGAGTATTGGGTGAGCAGGGGTCGAGTCCCAGAGCATGCATTTTTTGGACCAGAGTGATGACCAAGCAATTTCCTGATGTGACAAGAGATTGCCATGCAACCACATTAATAATCCCATTGCAAGGCCAATGGGCCTGACTGCCTGGTCTTGTGACACCTTCTTGCCTCTTCTCTTGAGCACTTGGTTTTAATTGCTTGTCTTTGTCTGCAAAACACAGAGGCAATGGTAATGTATCAAGAGAAAATATTCAGAGCTGACATTGTCTGTGTCTTTGCCAACAAAGGCTATTGTTTTTATTATTATTATCCAGATTATCCCTTGTGGGAGGGGGTCTACATGACTAACTCCTTGCTGAGATTCCCCCTGGTTATCCCGTAGTAAGGTCAGGCTTTGCCACCCCCTCATGGAAAAGGTCACAGACCCCCGGGATCCACAGGAGGTAAGGCACAGCTGCACAGAATCCCTGTGCCTCTGCACAATGTTTGACCCGTGGCAAGGCCCCCTAGATCACTGAAACCACAGCTCCATTGGAACCACGGTAGAAGGAACTGCTCCTACCTCCCCCAGGCTGCAGCTGCCTCAGGAGCACCCAAGAGAGGCTACACAGAAAGTTAATTCATTTGCCTAATTCTGCAGAGGGATGATGTGCATGCCCTCTCAGCTCTACATCCATCCCATCCAGTCTGTTCCTCTACCCTGTCAAAATCCTTCCCTGCAGATCAGAGGCTTCCTGTGGGCCTGGAGGGTAGAGAAGATGCCCATTTCTTTCACACAGAAAAGAGAGTTCCAAGTACAGTGTGCCTGTGTGCAGATCTCTATGGCCTGACCTGATTTCCTGATGTTATCACTCCTGTCTCTTTAGAGGCAATGATGTGGGTAAGGAGAGGTTGATAGAAGAGGGGTGGGGGGTGCACGCAACAGCGTGCCAGACCTGCTTGTTCCTGCCATAGAATTCACCAAAGTTTGACTGGGGGCTGGTGCTGGCAAAGTCAGGGGAAGTTATATGTATATGTAACTTTTCATAATATTTTATCTTGGTTTCTAATGCAACCACTCACCACCCCTGGACTTCATAAGTCTACCTGGGTCATGCAGTGATAAAAGCACATAACAATGCGTCTTTTTTACTCTACCTTAGAGGTAATGCTTACCAAGTTTGTTCTATTACACTGTGGAAATTATAGGCTGTTACAGCTGGCTCAGTGACTGGACTCTGGCTGATTTTAAGAGAAGCAATAGATAACGGTGGGGGTGGGAATAATTATGTGCATTTTTATGATCTTTTAATGCAGCTTAATAACTTAATACAACTTTGAAAACTCAATGAAATGGATCTTTCTAGTAGAAGATGAACTTGATTAGTTTTTCAAGGTTTTAGAATACCCTTCTAAGCACTGTAAAGGCAAAAAAAAAAAATACTCTCAAGGGTGCTCAAGATGCTCCCTGGCCATTCTCAGCCAGTTTTGTTTGTAATTTCATAAGTTGGCCAAGCACAATGGTGTGTCAGAAAGAAATCATGTCATGTTCCCCATATCCTTCTGTTTCTAGACATCAGCGTTCTTAGATCTGTGCTGATCTGCACATGTGGCTTCAATGTATGTTGTCATTACATGTACAGTATCAAGTGAACATGATTATAGTAGAAAGGACAGTACATTCGAGTGATTACAGCAAAGAACTGAGTGTCTAGGTGTTCTGGCTTCTCTTCTCAGCTCTGCAATTGATTTCCCATGTGATACTGGGCAAGTCATTTAACCAACTTGTGCTTCATTTTCCCCTTTTGTAAAAAGGGAATAGCAATACTTACTAGATGCTTGTGTCACAGCTTTAAGTTCCTCTAATCGAAGACCATGTTCTATCTTAATGTTTGTTAATATTCTGTGTGGTGTAGTATAGCAGTGTACAAAACCTAGGTAGGGGTATATGATTCCCCCCTTCACATGGTGATCTGATGAGCAAAACTGCTGGCAACCTGAAGCCTGGGGGTTTCTCCAAGAGATACCTGGATAATTCAGTGATGGAGGCCATTTAATTACCCAGATGGATAGAAGCAAAACTCCTTGAAAACCGATGAGCGTCTCAAGGCTTCCATACAAAGAGGAAAGAATCCTGCTTCTCCACCACTATATCTGTATCCCCACAGGGACAGTAGCATGCCACCGGAGCAGTGTGCAGCTGGCTGGGTGGAAGAGCTGAGGGAACAACTGCTCTGGCATGTTGTCCTTTTGGCAGCATGATTTATAAGTTCACACCTGTGTCTTTAACACCAGGGAAGGGGTATGGCAATGAGAAGTGGGGTTTGTTAGGAAGCTAAACAATGAAAGCATAGAAATAGAGATAGCCATGCTATTAGTCACACAGCAGGCCTAAGGAGTGCATATGGGCAAGATTCATGGGAAAGAGCCCTGTTTTTTCTTAGGTTGTTGGTTTTCCATGAGAAATGCACCCCACGCCTTGGCTATTCCACTCTTCTGTTGGTCTTGCTCCAGCAGGAAATGAAGTGCATAGGAAGTTCTAGGATACATAGGGCTCGCTTCCAGAGACCCCACTTTTAATGAGAAGGACATGGCCCCTTGATACAGAGTTGTAAAGATACAAATTCTTCCCAAGTTTCATGAAACAATATAATCACAGCTAACCTTGGGGGGCGTGTAATTGGAGTTGTCTTCTCAAAGACTCTATCAGATGGGGGTAGTTTCTATTTTTCAATTTTTAAGACAACAATTAAAGTAAGTGCCACTTT